TTCCTTCCTCCCTCCCTCCCTCCCTCCCTCTCTTTCTCCCTTTCTCTCTTTCTCTTTCTTACAAGCTCTTTGGGTGATTCCAATGTGGAGCAGGGCTGAGAACCACCAGCTCTTAGAGCAATTATAATAGCTACAGGCTGGGGCTCACTGAACTCTCCTAGGTGCTGGAATTGACCAAGCTTTTCACAGGCATCATATCTCTGTAGTCTCACAACATTCCCAGGAGATGAGCGTGGTTGCCTTCCCATTTTATTGATAAGGAAATAGGCTGAGAGTATCCAGGGCCACATGGCTAGGGATTCACAAAGTTGAAATCTGAATCTAGGTTTATGGACTCCAGAAATCTCCTAACTACTGCACCAGCCTCTTTCCTCAGGTCAGCATTTAATTAAGACCCAAATACTAAGGTAGAGAGGAAAGGATGGGCTTTCAGAAAGAGGTTGGTATAGGCTGAATCAATCTAGGTAGCTTTCAGAATTATGCTTGGGGTCCTGAAGGTGGTGTTGTGTCCTCAGGAGGTAGCCTCAGGACCAGCCCCAGCCCTCAGCAGACACAGTGCAGGAAGACCCAGAACCAAGCTCTCCCCAGCCCTGTGTTCCCCAGCCCTGGGGAACAGTACATCTTGGCCCCCAGGTTGGCCCGCTTAAGGGTACTTGTGCTTACCTGTCTTTTCTCAAGGGGGCCTGGTGCCCTCCTGCACCTGTCCTGGGTCATCTTGACCTGTAACAGAGCCCCATCCCTTCCCTGGGCCTGGCATAGGGAGGGGCGCTGCTGTCTGTGTACTGTGGTGACTGGCAGGGAAGCCCAGATGGTTTGTCTGCCTTTGTTCTGGAAGGAAATGAGAGCCTTAACCGGCCAAAAGGAGGGAATCCTGGCAGGCATCCCTGGATCCTGGCCAGGGCTATAAATATGGAATCTAGGGATAGGGATGAACTTGCCATGAACTTGTTAGGGTCCTCAAAAAGATTCTGCATTAGGGGGAAGGTAGGTTGATTGGCAGTGGCTGCCTGTCTAGAGGATCCTGAGGCCCTAGCTGCAGTTGGAGGGACATGGTGCTGTAATTGATTAGTCATGCCTGCCCTCTGCCCTGGGTGTGCTTTGCAGGAGGAGGAAAAACGTTGGATACTCAGTGACATGGGAATGCATGTCAGTGCATTTGGGGCATCCCATGCCCTGCTGGGTATGAAGACCAAGTAGGACAACAGTGACTCGTGGCCTTATCAGCTGGCCACCTGACCACCTGGATACTGTTCCAGCAACTGGCTTCCTGCAGTTTCCTGTGTCCTTCAGTTGAGATGAGGCCTGAGCCAGGCTTGGATGCCACCTTCCCACCCTACCTTGACATCACCAACCCATATTCACTCCCGAGGGCCACGGTGCAGGGACTTTTTGCCTAAGTCTGGCTGTGGACAGGCTTGCACAGAATCAGTGCATTTAGGAATAGGCACTGCTTTCAGAGGACCTGCTGCAGCTCAGGGAGGGGCTGGGCTTTCGACTGCTATGGAAAAGCCTCACTTTGTTTTTTCATTATGGTAAAAAAACATGTAACATAACATTTACTAAGTTAACCATTTTTAAATGTGCAGTTCAGTGGTATTAAGTATATTTGGGTTGTTGTGACACATATCTCCAGAACATTTTCATCTTGAAAATCTGAAACTCTACAACCGTCAAACAATTCTTACTACCCCCACCCTAGATCCTGGCAACCACCATTGTACTTTCTGTCTCTGAACTTGACTACTGTAGGTACCTCATATAAGTGGAATTATATAAGTGGAAGCAGAGTTTTTGTGCCTGGCTTATTTCACTTAGCATAATGTCCTTGAGGTTTATCCAGGTAGTAGAATGCAACAGGATTTCCTTCCTCTTTAAGGCTGAATAATTTTCCACTGTATGGATATTACACATTTTGTTTATCCATTCACCCATTGATGGACACCTGGGTGGCTTCCACCTTTGGCTGTTGTGAATAATGCTGCTATGAGCATGGGTTTGGAACTTAAGAAGTGGGATTGCTGGGTCATTTGGTAGGTTTTTTTTCTAAATTTTTGAGGAACCACCTTCCTGTTGTCCACAGCAGCTGGACCATTTGGGTCTCACTTTGGGACCTTTCCCCACTTTGTGGAAACTCAGCACTTCTGCAAGGTATCAATGTCTCTGTTTGACAGAAGAAGGAACTGGCACTGGCCTTGTCCAAAGTTGTCCAGCAACATGGTCCAGAGCTAAGACCAGAAAGGAGGCTGCCTGGCTCCCTCCTGAGACTTAGTCCATGCCAGACCCTCACTGCCTCACCCCCACCCCAACACACATACACCCTGGCAGTGAGTTGTGAAGAACAATCAGAGCAGGGGCAACTCTGAGAGGGAGGGTCCGAACCCCTGGGGGTCATAGCTCCCAGGGTCAGGGTCCTTCCTTCTGAATATTGTCAGGGTTCAGAGGGCCTTCCTGACCTCCATCTGGGCCCCCAAATCCAAATGTCACAAGGTCTGGGCAATGAGAATGGATGCAGTGGGCTCTGTGGCATTGCCGGGGTGCAGCAGGGTCTGTGAGGAAGTGGAGCTGCATCTCAGCTCTGCGGACCTGCCCAGCTCAGCCAGAACCGTTTGTTCAAGAGAAATAAGAAGTCCAGTCTCTATGAGCATTTACCTGATTTTAATAAAATATGTCTGACCTGGGGCTTCCAGTGTGATATTTGACTTGCTTCACCCTTTCTTCATTTAACTGAAAGGGAAACTGAGGCCTAGAGAGGGTGGGAAGAGCCCAGGTCTTCTGCCTCCAGGCCACAGTCCCCCTGGGGCAGAAGCAGGTTTCCAAGGACTTCAGAGGCAGCTGGTGCTCACTGTCCAACACAGGTTACATCAGTCTTCCTCAGACACTCATCCCCTGGAATTCTGTGAGCAAATGGTACCATCTCACTGAATCCAGCCTCTCCCAGGTGTCCTGTCTGTGCAGAGGTAATCAGGGTATCCGGAGAGGCTGGGGTTGGGGTCTGCTTGTTTCAAACACAGTCTACCTTACTATTATAACAACCTGAAGGACCCTTTTTATGGATGAGAAAACTGAGACCAACAGGCCGTAATCATTGAGTGGCAGCAGCAGGCATTTGACCCCAGGTCTGTGGTGACTCAAAAGTCCTTGGTTTTAAGGCCTTATTTTATCTCTGCTCCAGGATCTCCATCCATGTGCAGGAAACAGACACCCCTGGGGAGCTGCTTGTGACACGAGGGGGCAGCCTCAGACACATACCCCCTGAGGAGGCTCCAGCAGCTGCCTATCCAGGTGAGCAGGACCCACCTGGGCCCACTCCCCAGACCCCTGTGACCAAGTCAGAAAAACAGATCCCAAAAGGAGCTGGAAAGATTTCCCCACTGCGGAAGCAGAGCAGCGATGAGGGAACAAAGGCAGAGGAGAAGCAGGGGCCTGGGGCTGAGTCCACCGTGGGACCAAGAGGGGCCAGGAGGAACATGGGAGACCATGCTGGATCCCTGGGCTGGCAGCAGGACAAAGACCCAGGGACAGGACACCCTGAGCCTGGAAAGGACTGCACATCCAGAGGCATGGGCAGAGCTGAAGCAGGAAGGAAGACCCCCCTGGGAGCCGAGGCTGGCAGCGTGGTTCTGGGTGAGTCCATTGCTGTGTGCCTGGTAAGTGGGTTTGGGGGACCTACACCCAGGGGACCTTTCTGCTTTCAGGGCAAGAGAATGTGGGTCTGGGGGAGCCCAAGACTTAGAACAGCCTGCCAGTAACTGCTGGAGCTAAAGAGCAAGGGCTGGAGATACAGCAGGCTGGATTTGGAGTGACTGTAGCAGTAGGGGAGCCCTGTGGCTCAACGGGGTGGATTTCTCCAAGCCACCAGCCCACCTGAGCTCTTCACCATTGGTGTCATTCTGGATTGAGCCAGAGAAGGCTCCTGTTAAAAAGAACTTCTATTAACTAATGGACCCATTATCTGCCACCATGCCCAATGAGTAAGCTCTCATCCTGGGGTATGGAAAGGTGTAGTGAGGATCCCAGTAGTGGTGGGAAACATCCTTGTGTTCATGTGACTGAAATGCCCTCAACTGTTTCAGCATTAGGGTCCTACCCTCCTTGGTGTAAACCCTCATCTCATGAAGGCCAGCAGAAAGGCCACCCTTTGCTGGTTTCCTGCCCTGGAATTTCTGGAAGTCCCTGAGGAAGGGCTGCAGGTCATCTGGGGCCCCTTGCCACTTCTGGACTCCGCAGTTGCCCTGTCATAGTGACATCTCTAGTTGCTTCCTCTCCACCTGTACGACTTGGTCCAAATGTGGACAAGGGCTTCCTTTAATTCTTTTTTTTTTTTTTTTAAAGTTTAAAAAAATTTTTTTTTCAACGTTTATTTATTTTTGGGACAGAGAGAGACAGAGCATGAATGGGGGAGGGGCAGAGAGAGAGGGAGACACAGAATCGGAAACAGGCTCCAGGCTCTGAGCCATCAGCCCAGAGCGCGACGCAGGGCTCGAACTCACGGACCGCGAGATCGTGACCTGGCTGAAGTCGGACGCTTAACCGACTGCGCCACCCAGGTGCCCCAGGGCTTCCTTTAATTCTTGAAACACAGCTGAAAGCAAACGGAGTCTCCAGAATCTTTTCTGAGGCTTGGAATGGTGATAAAGCCAACATGAACTCAGGGCTCTCTGTGTGCCAAGACACGTGCATTTGTGCAGGCATTTACTCCCACAGGCCTGTTGAGTGGGGATAAATGGAAATACAAGAGAGGTCAAGGAACATGCTCAGGGCCAGAGTCAGTGTTGACAGAGCCAGGATCTAACCCTGACTGGCTCTGGAACCATGTGTACAAACCTCATGGCTCTGCAGCCACTCTGAACACTTAGTGTGCAGCAAAGAAACTGCAGACCAAATTCTAGATTTGGAATCCCTGTGACACACACTCAGAATCCCAGCTTTTCTAGGGTCCCAAAAAAATAGCAGCTGTAGCAACAATAGCCCATATATATTACCTTTGTGGCCCAGGGCCCACGGTTTGCTTTGCAGATGCAAAAAAAGAATAAGCAATATTCTCTCAAGGCAAATTCAAACTTCTGTTCTGGGGAGCAAAGAGTATTTTTACTAAGACAAACTAAGCTGTGTTTGCACTGCACCGGGTGTATGGTTTCAGAGGTATGAGAGCTGGGGGTGGAACACTCTGAGTGAACTATGACAAATCCAGACAAAATTTCAACCCAGGCCGCTGACTTCCCACCACAGTCCTTAATGCACAAACCAGCTTCAGTCATTGTGTTTGCTGTTTTGCTTCATTCCTGTGCTTTATTTCATGCAACACTTCTAGATTCCTATTACCTCTGAAGGACAAGATTTTTCAAAAACACTCAGACATTTTTATCTTTCCACCTGCTGGTGTCCTGTTTCCCCCTCCATTCCCCAGATACCACCAAACCCCTCTGAGCACACCTGCTACAGGCTGCATCACAGGCTACTTGCCCTATCAGGAGATCAGAGGGTGCAAGAAGAAGAAGGGTGGGTGTTTGTCTCCAGCTGCCTCCCTGTCACACTAGCGTCACTGATGTCCACAGCCCTGCCTGGACCTTCAAACATAGTCCTGTCATTAAATTCTCTCAATTACCCCATTCAAGTGCACCTTCTGTTTCCTGCTGACTATACTGATCCACCGTGGATCCCCTTTTAACTTCAATGAACAGACTGGGTATAACTTCTCCATCTTTCAAAGAGCACTGTTGTAGGTGATGGGAGACCTGGGTTTGAATCCCATCTGTCACTGACTTGCTGTGTGACCTTGGGCTAGTACCTCACATCTCTGAGACTCAGCTTGCTCCTCTGCTGAGTGGGTGACTCCAATGAGGTGTTCCTTGAGAAGAGTGAAGGGCTTCTCACTTAAACCAACCACTTAGGAGGCTCACAAGGTGTTGTCTCCCAAACAGATGACAGTCCAGCCCCACCAGCCCCTTTTGAACACCGCGTGGTGAGTGTCAAGGAGACCGCGACCTCAGCAGTTTACACAGTGTGCCAGCATGACGTCTTGGGAGGGTAGGTGGGCTTCCACCTTGATGAGAGAGTGGGAGCAAGAGGCTTGGGGGCAGAGACACTTGGAGACCTTATATGGCATGCTGTTGGATGCTTCTCAGGAAGGGGTTGACCAGGAGCCAAAGCCAGGAGTGGTATATATACCACACAGTGTACTAGGAAATGGACAGTCCACAGAGAGTAGGTGAAGAGAATACCTCTAGAGTGCAGAAGAGCCCACATGGTGTGAGATGAAGTATAGGGTGCAGGAGGCCCACACAGTATGGGCATGGGAACCATATACTAGTGGTGGTAGGGCAATCTGAGTGGTGTGGAATGAGGGAGGTAGTCCCCAGGGTATAGATAGATACTTTATGAGAGGATGAAGAAGGTCTTCTCTAAGTTTCAGGATAACCAATGTGGTGTTGGGGTGATGACTATAGTACCTCTGGGGTGCAGGATAATCCCATGGTGTTTATGGACAGAGGGCAGGACCAGAAAGTCCAGGGTACAGGATGGCCCACCATGTATGGAGTGAGCCTGTTGGGGTCTCAGTCTGCTGTGTCATGTTCCTGCAGGGGCCGGTTTGGCCAGGTCCACAGGTGCACAGAGAAGTCCACAGGCCTCTCACTGGCAGCTAAGATCATCAAAGTGAAGAGTGCCAAGGACCGGGTGAGGCATCTGCCCTGGACCAGCTGGTGCCTTGGGCCAAGTTCAGGGCTCCTATACTTCCTTATTGGACCCTTGGCCCTACACTTCCCCAGCCCCCTGCATGCTGATCAGGAACCCTGCCACCTTCCCTGCCTCTTTTCCATGAGTCCCACACTCTGCCCAGCACATCACCTCATACCTTGGACAGCAGGGTCCCTCTGGATTTCCAGGCTTCCTTCTTGGACCTCAGGTTTCCTATATGTGGAACGGTGGGTCTGTTGTAAGAACCTGGTTTGGGTGCTGAGTCGGAAACCTGATGTGAGAGTAGGAAATGAGGAAACAGGGTGGGCATGCACCTTGGAAGGGCATGTGTCTTGGGAGGTACAGCTGGCTCATCTTCCTGACCCATTTCTTGGAAACTCCTCTCCCATCCGACTCCACAAGGAGGATGTGAAGAATGAGGTCTACATCATGAACCAGCTCAGCCACGTGAACCTGATCCAGCTCTATGATGCCTTTGAAAGCAAGAACAGCTTCACCCTCGTCATGGAATAGTGAGTGTCTCAGGAGGTGGAGCAGTGGCTTCTCTGTGGGCCCAGACTCAGTGCTGGGGCTTGGAGCCGTGGTTCTAGGCAAAGCTCTCCCTTTCCCCTCCCCTCTCTGGGACATCTAAGGAATATCATCACCTCCAATATGCAGCATGGAGGACAAAGTCATTTGTCATAAACCAGCAGTAAACCTGACTGGCCTGTAGATGTATGTTGGTTTAGCGTCCACAATTTGTAATAATTTTGATTTAAGCATTAACAATTGGAAATTGGGAAATTTCACATTAAAACCCAGATATCTTGCTTTTCTTACAAATGTGAACAATCTAGTAATGTTGGACCTGCGTTTCAGCTGGAACTGGTGTGCTGGAGCTCCTACTTGCTGACTCTGTAGACAGGGTTGCCAGTCTCCCATTTGACACAGTCCCCACCACTCCCAACCACCCCTGAAGCTGAGATCAGGGCCTCAGAGGCCATTTATTTTTGTGCTTGTGTTGCTATTTTCCTTCTGGTAGGGTTTGTAATATCATGGCATGGCATGTCTCTACCAAGAGTGAAAAAACAACATTGTAGCCAAATAAGTTTATAATCTTGGCACAGAGTCACCAGAGTGAGCCTGGATCATCAACATTGAAGACAATCCCCAGGATTCCCTTTGGCCCATCAGTTTCTTTTTACCACCTGCACTCTGAGCTGGCAAAGGGCCAGAACAAAGATCTCCATAAAAACCCCAGATGGCAGTGGCCCTCCTTAATCCCTCCTTAATCGTAACCCTTGGACTTACGTGGGTTGGCCTTTTGAACCTTGGTGATATGAGTGGACAAGTCCTCTGGGAGCCTTGCTCAGGCCAGTGCCTACCTCTCTCTTTGCCCTGGCAGTGTGGATGGAGGTGAACTCTTTGACCGGATCACAGAGGAGAAGTACCAGCTGACTGAACTGGATGTGATCTTGTTCACCAAGCAGATCTGCGAGGGTGTGCATTACCTCCATCAGCACTATATCCTGCACTTGGACCTCAAGGTCAGGCTCCACCTGGGCATGTGGTGGGTGGGCCTCCAGGGTTCCTGAGCTTCTGCTGCTTTCTTACCTTAAAGAACTCTATCAACAGACCAAATGAGTCATGCTGCCTCTCTGAACCTCAGTTCTTCCACTAAAATGTGGATAATTGTAACTCTTTAAAGTGTTATTTGAAGATTAAATGATACAGTGACCTTCTTTTCTTTAAAAATATCTTGGGGCGCCTGGGTGGCGCAGTCGGTTAAGCGTCCGACTTCAACCAGGTCACGATCTCATGGTCTGTGAGTTCGAGCCCCGCGTCGGGCTCTGGGCTGATGGCTCAGAGCCTGGAGCCTGTTTCCGATTCTGTGTCTCCCTCTCTCTCTGCCCCTCCCCCGTTCATGCTCTGTCTCTCTCTGTCCCAAAAATAAATAAACGTTGAAAAAAAAAATTAAAAAAAAAAATCTTTAGAGAGAGGCAAACCAAGAAACAAACCATTAGCGATAGAGAAGAAAATGATGGTTACCAGATGGGAGGTGGGGGATGGGTTAGATGGGGGATAGGGATTAAGGAGGGCACTTGTGATGAGTACCAGGTGTTGTATGGAAGTGCTGAATCACTAAATTGTACACCTGAAATCTTATACTGTATGTTACCTAACTGGAATTTAAATAAAAACTTAAAAACATTTAAGATTAGTTTTAAAAAAATTAAAATAGGAACATATGCTGTGGTAACAAATATAGACAATATAGAAATGTATAAAATACACAGTAAAAGTTCTTCCCATCCAGTGTCCATGCTAAGAGGTCTTCTCTATTAGCAGTTTGGCATGATACACAAATATATACAAAAGTGATCATGCTATATACATCCTGTTTTTAAACTTACCTTTTTTTCAGTTAACAGTACATTATAGACATCTTTTCTCATTCTCTTTAAGGGCCATGTGATATTCCAGTGAGTGAATGTGTTACACTCTCTTTTGTCTACTAGGATCATCCTAGGAGTGTCATGCCTGGCTGGTAGTAAGCACTTGATACATGGCAGCCATTTCTATGGTTTCCTACTCAGCTGGGCAAGCAGGAGGGTGTTTTTCAACAACTCCTTTCAGGAATTTCAGTGGCTCCCCACAGAAGGTGGGAAGTAGGTTGGCCAGAACTTTGTGGGTGCACATTGCTTCTTCTGACCATCTTTTCTGATTGACACCAGATTGTAAAGTTGGACTTCTTAGAAAAATGGTAGCGATAATAGGGAATTGACCTCTGGCTTCCCAGATTCCTACAGCTAATTCCAAGCCCTCTGGATTAGCTGCTCTGTGAGGTTGGCAGTTGGGGGAAGCACAGGCTTCAGCTCTGTGGTTCTGGGTCAAAGACCTGCCATTGGGGCAACGCTGTGTCTCTGCAGCAGGAGTTGATTATTGCAAAGGCCCATTTCCCAGGCAAAAGTAGGGCTTGTGTTGGTTCAGTTCCTTCATGGCCAAAAGATCTTGCCTAAGTTCCTTGATCATATTGATTGATCTTGCATAAGCTGATCAGTTGCAAAATGGGGAATAATAGTATCTTCCTCTTAGGGGTGTTGCATGGGTTAAAGCATGGAGAAAAAGCCCCAGAGCTGCTGTCCCATACAATAACCATAAGCCCACATGTGGCTATTAAATACTTGGAATGTGGCTAGTGTGACTGAGGAACTGAATTTTAAATTTTATTATTTTTAATTTATTTAAATTTAAAAACTGTCAGTTTAGTTATTGGTAAACTTTTAAGTATATTTGGGATGACTTCACTATGTGAATTTCCTTTTCACCTATAAATTTTATGAAATTTCAATACAATTAATTCATGAAATCTAAATACATCTAAAATATTTCTGATGAAAATTTAGTATCTGAATTGAAATGTGCTGTAAATATAAAATACACATTAGATTTCTAAGTCTTAATATGAAAAAAGAATGAAAAATATCTCATTAATGTTTTTCATATTGATAACCTATCAAAATGATGAAATATTGGACATATTGCATTAAATAAAATATATTATTGAAGTTGAGTTTTAGAAAATATTTTAAGATGAATGAAAATGAGAACACAACATACTAGAACTACAACATACTAGGATGCATCTAAATCAGGAGGAAATTTGTAGCTGCAAATATGGATATCATCTCAAATCAATAATTTAACATCCTACCTTAAGAAAGTAGAAAAAGAAGGCAAGTTACACTCAAAGCAAGCAGAAGAAAGGAAATACTAAAGATTAGAGCAGAAATGAATGAAACAGAGAATAGATAAACAACAGAGAAGGGATGGGGGGGTGAGCTAAATGGGTAAGGGGCATTAAGGAATCTACTCCTGAAATCATTGTTGCACTATATGCTAATTTGGATGTAAATTAAAAAAAGAAAAAACAACAAAGGAGAAAATCAGGGGCACTTGGGTGGCTCAATCAGTTAAGCATCCAACTCTTGATTTTGGCTCAGGTCCTGATCTCAAGTTAGTGAGATAGAGCCCAGCATTGGGCTCCATGCTGACAGGGTGGAGCCTGCTTGGGATTCTCTCTCTCCTTCTCTTTCTGCTTCTCCCCTGCTTATATGCTCTCTCTCTCTCTCTCTCTAAGTAAATAAACAAACAAAAACCAATAGAGAAAATCAATGAAACCAAGAGGTGACTCTTTGAAAAGATCAATAAATTGTTAAATCTTTAGCTATATTGGCCAAGACAAAAGGAGAAAATAAATTACTAAAATCAGGATTGAAAGAGGGACATCACTACTAGCTGTAGTGATGAAAACTGTAGAAAGAAAAGATTATAAAGCAATAATGTCAAAAATTGTATGCCAGCAAGTTAAAATGGAACAAATCCTAGGAAGACACAAACTACTGAAAACTGAAAAAAATAGAAAATCTGAATCAACCTGTAACAAGTAAAGAGATGGAATTAATATCAAAAATCACCCACAAAGAAGAGCCTAGGCCCAGTTTAATTCTACCAATTTAAAGAAGATCTAATTTATGTGTTTTTCTAAATGTTTATTTGAGAGAGAGAGAGAGAGAGAGAGAGAGAGAGAGAGAGAGAGAGAGTATAAGCAGGGGAAGGGCAGAGAGGGAGGGAGAAACAGAATCTGAAGCAGGCTCTAGGCTATCAGCACAGAGCCCGACACGGGGCTTGAACACATAGACTGTGAGATCATGACCTGAGCTGAAATGGACACTTAACAGACTGAGCCACCCAGGTGTCCCTAAAGAAGATCTAATTTAAAGAAGAATTAATACCAGTTCTTCACAAACTCTTCCAAAAAATAGAAGATAAGGGAACACTTCCTAACTCATTTTATGAGGCCAGTCTCATCTTGAAACCAAACTGGACAAAGATATCACACACACAAAAAAACTATAGACCAATATCCCTTATGAATATATATGCAAAAATCCTCAGTAATATATTAGCAAACTGAATACAACAACATATAAAAAGGATTGTACACATGACAAAGTGGGATTTATCCTAAGGATGCAAGGTTGGCTTAACATATGAAAGTAATCAATGTAATATGCCACATCAATAGAATATAGGACAAAACCACATGATCATTTCAATAGATGTAGAAAAAGACTTAACAAAAACCAGACAACTTTTCATGACGAAAACACGGAATGAACTAGGTATAGAAGGGAACTTTCTCAGCTTGATAAAGGCCATCTATGGAAAACCCACAGCTAATATTATACTTAATGGTAAAAGGTTGAATGCTTTCCCCTTAAGATCAGGTACAAGACAAGGATGTCTGTTCTTGCTGCTGCTATTAAACATTGTACTTGAGGTTCTTACCAGGACAATTAGGCAAGAAAAGAGGTAGAAAGCATCCCGATTGGAAAGGCAGAAGCAAAACTGTCTCTATTCACAGATGACATGATCTTGTGTATAGAAAATCCTAAGAAGGGTGGAGGGAAACTATTAGAACAAATACGCAGGTTCAGCAAAGTTAAAGGATATAAGACAAATGTATAAATATCAATTGTATTTCTATATACTAGCAATCAATAATCTGTAAATAAAATTAAGAAAAAGATTCCATTTACAATACAGTAGTCCTCCCCTTATCCCTGGTTTCATTTCCCATGGTTTCAGTCACCTATGGTTGACCAGTTCAGAAGCAGATGATCCTCCTTCTGACATACAGTTAGAAGGTCAATAGCTGCCTAACACTGCATCATAATGCCTATGTCATTCACCTCACTTCTTGTCATCACATAGGCATTTTATCGTCTCACTTCATTCCAAGAAGAAGGCTGAGTATAGTGCAATAAGATAGTTTGAGGGGGGCACATTCACATAATTTTTATTAGCAGTACATTTTTATTTATTTTTTATTTTTTTAATTAAAAATTTTTAAATGTTTATTTATTTTTGACAGAGAGAGAGAGACAGAGCATGAGCGGGGGAGGGGCAGAGAGAGAGGGAGACCCAGAATCTGAAGCAGGCTCCAGGCTCTGAGCTGTCAGCACAGAGTCCAACGTGGGGCTCGAACTCACAGACTGCGAGATCATGACCTGAGCCGAAGTCAGATGCTCAACTGACTGAGCCACCCAGGCACCCCAGTAGTATTTTTATAATTGTTCTGTTTTATTATTAGTTGTTTTTATCTTACTGTGCCTAATTTATAAGTTAAATTTTATCATAGATACGTATATATAGGAAGGAACATAGCATATATAAGGTTTGGTAGTATCTGTGGTCTCAGGCATCCATGGGGGGTCTTAGAATGTATCCTCCATGAATAAGAGGGACTACTGTAATATATAATCAAATAAAATAGTTAGGAATAAATTTAACAGGTGAAGTGCAAGATTTATTTTCATAAAACCACAGAACATTATTAAAAGAATTTAAAGAAGACCTAATAAATGAAAGACATCCTATGGTCATGGGTTGAAAGACAATATTGTGAAGATGACAATACTCTCCAAATTGATCTATAGATTGAACACAATCTCTGTCAAAATTGCAGCTGGCTTCTTTGCAGAAATCAATGAACTGATCCTAAAACTGAGATGGAAATTCAAGGAATGCAGAATAGCAAAAACAATCTTGAAAAAGAAAAGCAAGCTGGAGGATACACATTTCCCAATTTCAAAATTTACAGCTAAGCTACAGAAATCAAAACAATGAGTTATGTGTATAAAGATGAATAGATAACCCAATGGCATACAACTGAGAGTTCAAAACCAAACCTTTATATATTTGGTCAATTGATTTTTTGATAACTGTGTCATGACAATTCAATGGGGAAAGAATAATCTTTTCAACAGATGGTGCTACGATCCCATGCTTGGTATCCATATGCAAAAGAATACACTCATATTGTAAACAAAAACTAACTCAAAATAGATTGTAGACTTAAATGTAAGACCTAAACTTATAAAATTCTTAGAAGAACACCCAGGAGTAAATCTTTGTGACCTCAGATTATTAGGTGATGATTTCTTAGATATGATTCAAAAGAAAAAGCTAGAAAAGAAAGATAAATTAGACTTTATCAAAATTAAAAACCTTTATGCTCCAAATGATATCATGAAAGTGAAATGACAGCCCACACAATGAGAGAAATATTTCCAAACGATAGATTTGATAAGGGACTTACATCTATAATATATAAAGAACTCTTACACACCAATAATTAAAAGACAAATTAAAATGGGCACAGGATTTGAACAGACATTTATCCAATAAAGATATGCAAATGGGCAATAAGCACATGAAAAGTTCTCAACATCATCAGTCACTAGAGAAACACAAATCAAAATTGCAGTGAGATACTATGTTATATTCATTAGACCAGCTAAAAAAAAAAAAAAAAAAAAAAAAAAAAAAAAAAAAAAGTGACAGACAATAAGAAGTGTTGGCTATGATGTGGAGAAATTAGAACTCTCATACATTGCTGGTAAGATTGTAAAATTGTGCATCCACTTTAGAAAACGGTTCGGCAGTTTTTAAAATGTTAAATGTAGCATCACCATATGACCTAGTCATTTTAACTCTAGGTATGTATTCAAGAGAACTGAAAACATAAGTTGACACCAAAACTTGTACATAAGTGTTCTTAGCAGCATTATGCATTATAGTTCCAAAGTGAAAACAGCTTGAATATTCACTAACAGATGAATAGATACACAAATATGGTACATCCATACAATGGAATATTATTCAGCTATGAAAAAGAATGAGGTACTGATACATACTACAACATGGATGAACCTTGAGGACATTATGCTGAGTGAAAGAAGACAGATGTAAAAGGCCAGCATTTGTATGGTCATTTATATGAAATGTCCAGAATAGGCAAAGCCACAGAGACAGAAAACATGTTAGTTCTTGCCAAGATTTAGGGGTGAGGGAGATGGAGAGTGACTGCAGATGGGTATGAGGTTGGTTTTTTTTTTGATGTGATAAAAATATTCTAAAGTTGGATAGTAAGGATTATTACATAACTCTGTGAATGTACTAAAACCCAGGGAATTTTACACTTTAAAAATGGTGAATTTTATGATATCATCATTATTATTTATATTTATTATTTATACTCCAATAATGCTGCTATAAATATTAAGTTCCTTATTTAATTTTAATTTTAATTTTAATTTAATTTGTTTAATTTTAATGTGGCTGCTGGAAAAATTTTAAATTATGTATGTAGCTCACATTATATTTCTATCAGACAGTGTTTTTCCAGACCTCATGAAGAAGACATGGAGACTTTAAATCTCCTGCTCCTATCTGAGGCATTCATTGCCTAATTCCATTGCACCAATAAAACCTTCTGTTGAGAGAAATAGTACCTGACATTTGCTTTGGAATCTGTACAGTGTTTTCATGCATGTGATTCAATCCTCATACCTTCCCAGGAGGAAAGCAGGAAGTGGTTATTATTCCCATTTTATTGATGGAGACACTGAGGTTTCAGGAATGGGAATGGACTCACCTAAGGCCACAGACCCAGATAAAAGACCCCTTGGCCTCAGGCACTGGGCCTTGGGTCTCCAGGGCATTTCTACCGTACACCCTATATGTGTACACCACCCTACCTGTATCCAAATTTGTTTTGCATAAGCAGCAAGCATCGTTCCAGGCCTCAGAGCTGATCTGAAGGACTTAAGAGGAGAAGCATCCCAAGACCACCATCTCTACACTGTGGGTCACAGCTGTCACCATAACATGGCAGACTGACTGACATTGAGCAGCTCTGATCTCCTTGACTGGAATTCTGAAGCTTTGGTTCCCACCCCTGAGATTCTGATGTAATTGGTCGGGGTTGGGGCCTGGACACTGGGACTTTTGAGGGATCCTCTGATAATTATAATGTGCAGCTAGGCTTTGAAACCATGACCCTGATCCAACAGTCTCAACACAAGCAGCTTGTGGGTCAAGTCTGCATCACAGAAGTGTTCTGTTTGACACCTGCACTTGGGTATATGTTTAAATTTGAGTTGCCAGTATTTAAAAGCATGGATTTTTCACATAAAAATATGTATTCTGGCTTCTCTTGAGGACTGGGGAAGTTTGGCAACTGGGCCTGCGTTCCTTCATTGTGACTGGTGGCTGGAGCTGCTTTTCACAGGGCAGGAGGCCACCAGTTCTCCACAGTCTACACAGTTCTTTAGTGTCTCACACCAGCCCACTTTGTTTTCATGATCTATATATCCCTGCAGGTCTGCCCTAGGCCATTTATTGTCTTGGAGGCTGGGAAACTGAGGTCTGTTGACATAAGCATGGGAGTTGACTCCTTCTTAGCTGTTGGCTGAGCTAAGCAGACATCTGTTTCTTTTCCAGCCAGAGAACATACTGTGTGTCAATCAGACAGGACATCAAATTAAGATCATTGACTTTGGGCTGGCCAGAAGGTAAGGGGGTTGTGGTTTGACACTTTGACAGAACTCCTTGGGAACTGCTTGTGGCTCTCTTGGATGTGGTTACAGTTCAGATAATTTTTGAGTTTTGGGACTGACACAGAAAACTTTTTCACTGAGAGGCTGGTGGCCTTCAGTTGTACACATAGGCCTTGTTACTACCCCAGGGGTGGCTTCATGCAGACTTTGCATGACTCTGCTTCTCCTTAAAAGGCTGTGGGATTAATTGTACTTCAAACCCCAGTGTGAGCAGAGAGGGTGGGACGGTTCAAGGAGTGCCACTGGGTGGGTGTCCTCAGATCAGTTCTATTCATCCCCCAGGCCTGGGGCCAAGGTGTGCTGAGCTATGTGAGGGATCTAGCACCTTCCCTGTCAGGAAGTGAGTGGTTTAAATAGGAAGGTGCATATGTAACAGTGTAGGGTGATGTTGGGGTATGTGGTTTGGGGCCACTCAAGACTGGTTAAATCTTGGTAAAGTGATGATAACATGAAATACTTGCTGACATGGGCAGTTAGGAAGGTTAAATGAAATAATACATAGAGAGTGCAGACCCATCCTATGAAGGTGGTTAGGTTCTCAAGTTTGAGTACATAAACATCATATATAATTTAAAAAATATCTTGAAGTCCCTTAAAATGTCCAAAGCCTGGTGAAGGACAGTATGTCCATAGTTTTACAAACCTGTCCAGACCAATGTATGATGAATGCCGTGCCTCTGCAGGGTTCTGCTCCCTGGCACGCACACCCAATGGTGCAGGATTTTAGCAATGGTAGTAACAGACCCTTCATATTGGGGAGGGAATGTCCCCCAAACCTTCAAGCATCCATAGTCTACAAACATGGCAACAGTTGTATGCCCATCCTCCAAGACTCCTCCAGAATTCTATTTCCACCAAGAATGACATTTCTCTGGGAATCACATATTTTCTAGGTAGGTCTTCACACCACAGCTGAATTTTCTTTAAATTTAAACTCTTTAAAATTTCTCTCACCCTGATGGTCATTTTCCACAAAGAAGTTGTTTTTGCCATTTTATCGGCCTAATGGTATCTTCCGCTCCATCCACAAGGGGAAGAAAGCAAAACCTTGTCCCAGTGGAGACAGCCACTTGCCTGAGCTCAGCCTCTGATATCCAGACCTGCCTCCCACAAGTAGCATTCAAAACCATAGTGGCAATCTTCCTGGGTCAAGTGGTAAATTTACCTCTTTGCAGGGGTCAAAGATGCATTTTCAGTGCCCCCATGATGGATGGGAGGCCACAGGTAATGTCATGAGAGTAACAGCAGAGGGAAGTTCATATCATCCTACTGTACCAAATGTACAGTACTGCTTTTCATGAACAGTGCCAAATCCCCCAACCCAAATGCTTCAAAATCACATTCAATTCATAATGTAAATAATTGTTTAATATTTTTGCAAATAATGTCTTATAAAGTTGGGATGCATCCTATACAATTGTGTGTCTTATACACTAGAGCAATGTCTCTGAATCTATTTTTTATTATCACTGCCTGGCTTCCAAAGAGACTTTTTAGACATTTCTCTCCTAATCGCCAGGCCCCTCCTCATGAAATTTAATGCTACAATTGTCCTTTGTATCTTTTTATGTTCTGTGGCCCTTTGGAAAGCCAGAAACCATTGTAATAGCTAAGACTTTTTGCCCTTCCAAGAATCGGTGTTCACCCCCTTGGGGTAATATTGTCTTCATCAGGAATGTACACCCTCCCAGATGTGTATTAGTACCCTCACAAATGCCAGATGTCCAATTGCCAAATGAGTATTTACAGTGACAAACTGTGAATTCAGAGCAAAAATTAACCAGCTGAGGCTCCTGGGTTCTGGGAAGTCTCTGAGCAGCTAAAAAGGAGCGATGGACAAGGTGTTATCTGTGGGCGGTAAGATACTGGTAAATGTTTAACAATCAGTTGTAGGGGCGGGCAGGATGGGGATGGGGTTTGATTTGTAACCTTTGCTAATTTTGGCTGACTTCAAACTACTGACATGATATCACTGAATACAGAGTTGGGAGGAGATGTACACAATTGACTCTCATGCACCCATGAGAAGTGGCTCCAGCACAACACTGCTGGGGGTGAGGGTGAGGGTGGTGGGGGGGATGGGAGGGTGAGGGGCTGGGGTGGTGTCAGTATAGGATGTACACTGCACATGTGCAGGCTTTCTCGGGGAAGGTAGGAGCTGGGGTGGGGATGGGGGAGGGAGATACAGTGAAGATGAGGGCATTAATAGGGAGTCCTGAATGTCATGGCTAAGAAGCTGGAACATTATACTATAGGCCACTGAGTGTTGCCTGCTGGAGAGGTGAAAAAGGCTGTAGGTCAACTTACCAAACATCAGTTAGTCAAAATCTGAGTCATCCATCCCAAACTGTCTGATAAATTCATTAACATAGTCAAAGGCATTGATGACAATAATTTTTGCTGATGAACCAGAGGCAGAGAGCAAGTTCAAGAAAATAAACATGCAGAGCCACATTTAAGAGAAGGCCACCCACATAAAACTGGGCACTGGGGAAGTGCAGGTGTCTGGAACACGTGGTACTCAGGAAACCGCACTCAGCAGAGCTGTGCTGACAGAGTCACAGGCTCTGGCTGTGAGGCAAAAGGAAAACATCAAAAACATCCTCAACAGTCCAGCAAACTGGCCATTGGGCGAAAGGATCATTTGGCAAATTGGGTTTTGCCAAATTGGCCTGCTTCCTCGGAAGCAGGAACAATCTGTGGGGGAATGTGCAGGTTGAGCATATTTTATATGTCACAGGAATTAAATGTTTATAAAGAGGGAGGAAAAGCCAATTTTTTCCTGTAATACAAACCATAGAAAGTGAAGTTGTATTTCTGGGTGGAGCTATTAGAAGGTACTGAGATTGTCAGTGGGGTTATGGTCATGTAGGGGGCACATACGGATGTTCAGAGGCTGTGACATCCAGCAAGAGGGACCAACATTACCCCAGGTTGGGCAGTGAGAGCCATCGGTGGGTCTACGTAGGTTCATGTCAAGGGTCAAGGATAGGGACAGGACGGGAAGTTTACTCTTGGTCTCCAGAATGTTGCTCCAGGGCTCAGATTGGAATCCAAGCCTATTTCATCAGATCTTTTGGCAGGGAAAGAAGATGCCCACCCCAAACCTTGTGACGCTGCAACCTCATAGGTGACCCTATGGTCACAGAGGGCCTTATGCTAGGAATTTGGAGAGGGGGTCTTGGTGGATATTTTGACATTTAGGCTGAGTTACTGCCACAGTACTGCTGTTTAACAAATGATTCAAAACTGCAGAGGCTTAAAACAATCATTTATTCTCAACCACACTGGTGTGAATCACCAGTGGTGGGGGGTGGTACATGGTATTCTGGACCTAACTCACAGCAGCTCATGACAAGGAACCTGTAAACAGTTGTCAAAACACACCATTAATTAAAAAGTCCTCTGTCTCTGAATTTGACCACTTTTGGTACCATACCTAAGTGGAACTATATAGTATTTGGTTTTTTTGCAAATGACTTCTTTCACTTAGCATAATGTCCTGGAGGTTCACCCATGTTGTAGCATGTGTCAGAATAGCCTTATATTTTAAGACTGAATAATATTCCACTATATTATTACCTACCACATTATTATTATGTATTTTTATCTACCACATTTTACTTATGCAGTCATCCACTGATAGACACTTACTTGGGTTACTTCCTCCATTTGGCTATTGTGAATAATGCTGCTATGAACACAGGTATATAAATATCTCCTCATGATTCTGCTTTCAATTTTTGGATATATACCCAGAAGCGAGATTGCTGGATCATATGGTAGTTCTACTTTTAATTTTTTGAGGAACTGCCATACTGTTCTCCATAGTAACTGCACTATTTTACATTCCCACCAGCAAGGGTTCTAACTTCCCCCCACCCTAGCCAACTCTTGCTATTTTCTGATCTTTTGTTTGTTTGGTTGTTTTATAGTAGCAGTGATGTGCAGTGGTATCTCATTGTGGTTTTGATTTGCATTTTCCTGATGATTTGTGATATTGAACATATTTGCTTTTTCTAATTCTTACTGTCATCTCTCCAACAATAATGGTCACACTACCAGGGCGGACCTCCACAGAGAGCTGCTATCCAATTTGTTTGTGTTTGCTCATGTGGTTGCATGCCAAATAAGATACACTGATCTTCTCTCCTTTTGACATTGTAACTGCTAGGAGGAAGAGGACTATGGTTTTCTGATTCTCCCTAGTGACTTAGGAAAGTCTAAAGTTGGGGCCTGGGAGTATGATGATTATCCAGAAAACCACACGTGGTGGGATGTGAGGTCCAGACAACATGGCAGACAGGAAAGGTTGGGAATGTCTAGCTCTGACCAGGAATTAGTCCCAGGAATTCTCTCAGGGCTCACTCCCATGGTCCTCTGCATCCTGTTGTCCCCAGGTACAAGCCTCGGGAGAAGCTTAAGGTGAACTTCGGCACTCCAGAGTTCCTGGCCCCAGAAGTCGTCAACTATGAATTTGTGTCCTTCCCTACAGACATGTGGAGTGTGGGGGTCATTACCTACATGCTGTGAGTGCCCAGGAGCCTGGCTCCTAGTGAGAATAGGGGCCATCTGTTTTAGTTTGGGATCCTTAGAAGCAGAGAACATTTGAGTGTGGAGTCATTTATTTGAGAGCTGTTCCCAGGAAACGCCAACAGAGGAGTAAGGGAGTGAGATGGGAGAAGACACCAGTAAAGCATGTGTTATTGAGCACTTACCACTGTAGGCAACTGGAGTTGAATACTGTCGGGGAAGTCTGGGATCCATCGTGGAACAGCCCCTCACAGTTATTCTGAGGGGGGAGGGTGTAAGGGTGTTTATACACCAACTCTTACCAGTTATTGCTTGTGAGCTGGTCCTGAGAGCATTGGTTCCTTGAAACTTCTGGGTGGATAGAGCAGCTCCCACCAGAGAAGAAGCTCTCCAGCAAGGAAATGCATGTGCTATAGTACAAGTGGGGCTGGAGTGCACCAGAGCGTTAAGGAGAGGAGATGGACAGGGCAGAACACTGTCTGATGTATCATCTAACTTGTCCCTCCTGTCCTGTGCTTCCTGTTTTCTATGGACTGAGGGAGCAGAGTTAGCATGGACTGAGAGGAGATATGTACACAGACTAAGCATCCTTGTCTCTCTGTGAATTCCCTTGGTTATTTCCTCAGAGGTCCAATCAAGTCATGCTTTGCTCCCAGATTTGTCATTATGGCATAATTGCTACCTTGTGTCCCCACACTTTGTATGTGTGTACCTCACCAGGTGGGGGAAGTCTGAGGCCCGAGGCCAGCCAGAGTGTCCTATCTCTCTACCCTCACTCTAGAGGGACCTAATGAAGCCAGTTTTCCTTTGGCCCCTGAGGCCTGGAGTAATATTTAAATGAGCCAGGCTGTATCAGAGACATATTAGGATATTTTTAAATTAAGTTAACATGTATTTCATAAATGGACATATTGGATTGGGCCTCAATTTATTCTTAGGCTTCAGGCTAAGGGGAAAATAGGTAAGCATGATGGAGGATTTATTCAAACACTCTTCATGCCTCTAAATTTTTAGTCCTGCCACTTCCTCCCCTAACAGAACACACTGGACTATCTCCTGTTGAGAAGTAATAGGGGTACTTTTCTTTTGAATTCTGGTTAGAGCTGCTTGTACCTTGTAAGACCTCTATCCCGTCATTGCATTTTGGCAGATATGGCTTCTACATACTGACAGTCCTTTTTCTCCTCTGTAGACTCAGTGGTTTATCCCCATTTCTAGGGGAAACAGATGCAGAGACCATGAATTTCATTGTGAACTGTAGCTGGGAGTTTGACGCTGACACCTTTGAAGGGCTGTCAGAAGAGGCCAAGGACTTTGTTTCCCGCCTGCTGGTCAAAGAGAAGAGGTACTGTTAATTGCTTGTCATTCAGAAACCATTCTGATGGTGACCATCCATCTGGGTGCTGTGAAGATCAGGCTGGTGCTGTGCTTTCTCTGGACCAGTTCTGTCCAAGATTTCTTAGTCTGCTATGGCTTTGGAACAAAAAAGGTAACAGGGAAAGAGATGAAGGAAATAAAAAAATAAACAACAGGAGCATAAAATCTAGATAGAGTTTTAAAAAGGACCACATATATAAATTAGTCCTTGGTAAGTTATCAAGTAATCACTTTAATAGATTAATGTTGAAAAAAGGTTGAGATATGCAGATGTTATTCCCCAGAATAAGAGCCAGAAAACCTCATTTGTTGATAATGAAGACCTACTTAGTTTTCAGCAGGCATATCAAAGTCATGGGTTGAACCATGGAGTTTTCTGATACTCAGAGACTCAGACATAAAGAAATAATGGCAAATGACCCAGGGTGAGGCCCAAGAGTCTGAGCTCTGAGACAGCCCATAGTTCCCTGGCCTTTACTATTTTGTTCTTCTGATTGTGAAAAGTTATGAGTGGTAAAATATTTCTAATTCAAATGAACAAAAAGGACATCATTCTCTGGAAGGGGAGACAAGCTTCTTTCAAGAGTTATGTTCTTTTTCTTCTTAAGAGCAATTGCAGGCCCACCTGGCCTTCCTACTTCCTGCCTCAATTTCCCAGCTCTTTCTGGAGGAGGTGATTAATCACTGTGATACATTCCCTCTGTAGAAGGCAGTGAACATTTTTGTTGATGACTTTCTTTTACTTTTAAGGAAGGGAATTTTAGACATAAGGAGTTCCTTTTTAGTTTGTGGCATGAATCTGCTTGAATGATTAATCGATTCACTGATTAACACTTCCTACCCAGCTGAACCAATTTCTGGAAAACCAGAAAAGGCAACCCTAACTAAAAGTTTCAACCTCTGTTTGATTTCACAGTTGCAGAATGAGTGCCACGCAGTGCCTGAAACATGAGTGGTTGAATAATTTGCCTGCCAAAGCTTCAAAATCCAAAGTTTGTCTCAAATCCCAATTATTATTGCAGAAATACATGGCTCAGAGGAAATGGAAGGTATCTGTTTTGTTTGTTTTTTTAAGGTAGCATTTGTCTTTTTAATGTGTCCTTTGAAAGAAATGTTGCTAAGTTTTAACTTACATTTTCATTCTAAATAGATTATTTGGGAGGGAAAAAAAAGTCTCTTATATCAAAACCTGTGATCTTGATTAAAGAATGCCACAGACCAAAACCAACTGGTATAAAGGTGGCATTTAGTTCATACTTATATGGACAATTGAAAGGACAGAATAAAGTTTGAGCATATGTTCTCAGTAACAGTAGTAGGGAAGTGCTTGGAACTTACTGCCTGAAGCTTGAGATCTGACTCCTCCACATTTCAGAAAGAGGGGCTGGGAAAGCCCTATTAGGTTTTAAAAGCTTCATAATTTTGTTTACAACAGAACCCTTTGGTATCATGGATATAAAAAGAAAAATTGCCTTCCAGGAAAAGTGGCTTTCCAACATATTGTTATCAACTCAGATCCTCACTAAAAAACAAAAATAAAAGCCTTTACCTAGAGAGCCAGTATATAAAAATATGTATACATACACACACATATGAAACAAAAACATCCCAGCCTTTGCTAAACAGAGTGAAATACACTCTGATATTTTCTGTTCTATGGTATTTGGTTTCATTAAAAAAAGTGCTGGTCATAACCCACCAAATTTTCATGACCCACTGGTGGATTTTTTTTTTAATATATTAAATTTATTGTCAAATTGGTTTCCATACAACACCCAGTGCTCATCCCAAAAGATGCCCTCTTCAATGCCCATCACCTCCCCTCCCCTCCCTCCCACCCCCTATCAACCCTCAGTTTGTTCTCAGTTTTTAAGTGTCTTTTATGCTTTGGCTCTCTCCCACTCTAACCTCTTTTTTTTTTTTTTTCCTTCCCCTCCCCCATGGGTTTCTGTTAAGTTTCTCAGGATCCACATAAGAGTGAAAACATATGGTATCTGTCTTTCTCTGTATGGCTTATTTCACTTAGCATCACACTCTCCAGTTCATTGGTGGATTTTGAATCACAATTTGAAAAGTCCCATTCCAGTGGGCTCCATTTTTCACAAGAAGAGGGTATATTTTCTCACTTCATAACTTGCTCTCAAATGCTCCAGAGTCATGGGGCTGTTCTACTGGAATTTTGCCACAAACTTGTTTTCCCCATTAGATTCTCAGTTTTGAACAAACCCAAGTGGCTAAACTTGCTTAAGTCCTTTTATTTCTTCTTAAAACAATTGGTCTAAAAATATACTTTTTATCCTTTTTTCCCCCTCTTTAACACCAAGAAACATTTCTACGTGGTGACTGCTGCCAACAGGCTAAGGAAATTTCCAACTTGTCCCTAATTCTCAACTCGGCTGCTCCCATGGGCCCAGAAGTTATGGACTGGTGGTGAAGTGATGACTCAAGATTTTTAATAATCCAGTCTTGTAATGATACTGATTTCATCTTTTTTGTAAAGAAAGGTTATGGCTGCTGCCTTCCTTGTGGGTGAAAAGTGGCTGTAAGGAAAGTGACCCGACCTTTTTTTTTCTGCCTTGTAAGATCATACTAAGTTGAAATGCTGTGTTTACTTCTCAAGTACACCTACTTTTGGTGATAAGTATAGGCATGCTTTAGGTAGGTAGGAAAGCTTCTACTTTGTATATGTCAAATTTAAAGTCTAAGCTTACTCTGATTAGAGAACTCAGTAGACTGTTACACAGGGGTATGTTATGCAGCGTTATCTCCTCCAGTACAAAGAATTCCTAGAATTTTGATTTGCTCAAGTGTGAGCTGACATTTTATTGTACTACCCTGTTCTTGTGGAAAGCAATGTAGATTTAGGGGTAGTGATCCTCAAATTTGTTTTAACTTGTGCTCCGTTTTGGGAAACAAACCATGCATCCTTTAATATTCTTTGAAACTTCAAAATACACCATATCACCTGTCATGGCTAAATCAGAACAATGATCATTTTGAATGTGCTTTTTAAATCCATACACATCTCCACCCTCTCCTAAGTGGTCCTATTCTGGCACTGGTAGTCTCACTTCTGACCTCCCTTCCTCAGATTTATGGTCTAGGAAGTCTGGACACTGATATGCAATATGTAAAAGAGATGTAAGAGTGTAAAATGATTTTCAGTCTTCTGAGAGAAACACAGAATGATACATCATGAGACAATAAACTGCTGTTCTACTGTTTTATGGATATACCACTTTTAATGTTGTCATTTAACTAACTTATAAAATGATTAACAAGAAGTACTTTATTATTTGAAAGTAAAGAATGCTTTTAATTTCCTCGCTTATAACCTGATTTTTGTGCTATTCCCATGAACTTCTCAAGTCAGCAGTTTTCTGTTTTTTTTTTTTTTTTTTTTTTAAGTTTATGTATTTATTTTGAGAGAGAGAGAGAGAGAGAGTGTGCTTGGAGGGGCAGAAAGAGAGCGAGAGAATCCCAAGCAGGCTCCATGCCACCAGCACAGAGCCCTACACAGGGCTTGAACTCACGAACCATGAGATCATGATTTGAGCCAAACCAAGAGTCAGATGTGCAAATGACTGAGCTATCCAAGTGCCCCTCGGGTCAGCAGTTTTAATAGGAGTAGTTACTTTTATTTATTTATTTTTATTTTTTAATTTTTGAAAGAGAGAGAGCACAAGCACAGGAGAGGGGCAGAGGGAGGGATGGAAGGAATCTCAGGCAGGCTCCATGCTCAGTGTGGAGCCTGATGCGGGGCTCAATCCCGTGACCCTATGATCATGACCTGAGCCAAAATCAAGAGTTGTAGGCTCAACTGACTGAGCCACTCAAGAGCCCCAGGAGTACTTACTTTAATTTTTAATTAGCCATGCAACAGTTTCATAGGCTTTCAGGATTTTTGTTCAAATGAAGAACCCCCCTTTACCAGTTTTTGGCAGAGGAAACGGGTGTGGGGAGGGAGGCAGAAAGAGGTGAGGTGAAACCTGCTGCTGCAGTTCTCAAATTGTAACTTTCCTTGGAAGGCTAACTCTTGTCAGGAACTAAGATTTTCAGTACCAGCATATCTAGGCCTGCCAAGCTGGCCTAGTGAATGAACATCAGAAGAGATGGCTGCTGGAAACCTCCCTTTTGTAGGAGAATACAGTGATTTGGTAAAATACCTTATTTTAAATCAAGAGTTATTCTGTGGAAAGGTTTTATGAGGGCAGCCTCCAGAAGGAGCCACAGAGGTTATCTTACAGTTCTGTCAGGTACGATGAGTCTTACCTTCTTTGGGACTTCAGACTCTTGGTGCTATGAATCTTCTTCCCAGATAAATGTAGTTACCTTGATCTAGAGTAGCACTGTCAGAAATATATGAGCCATATACATAATTTTAAAATTTTGAATAGCTCCTCCAAAAAAACCTGGTGAAATTAATTTTAATAATTTAACACAGTAAGTCAAAATTATTATTTCAATTTATAATCAACATAAAAAACTATTAATGAGGTATTTTCTATTCTTTTTCTCACACAGAATCCCCAAAATCTGGAGTGTATTTTACACTTAAAGTACATTTCAATTCAGATACTAGATTTTCATCAGATATGCTTAGTTTGGATTTAGATTTCATGAAACTTACTGTGGAAAAATATAATCAGATACTCAAGTTGTTCAAAACACCTTAAATGTTTTCTAGTAGATATCCACTTTTACATTTAATTTAAATTAAATAAAGATAGAAATTCAGTCCTATAGTTGCATTAGCCATATTTTAAGTGCTTAATAGCCACATGTTGTTGTTAGTGGCTTCTATATCGGATGGGGTAGATATAGAATCCTTTACCTGTCAAATTTTAATTTTTTCTCCCTGTATGCTGTTATTCTTTACCTAGAGCCTCCTTCAGGGCTTTGTTTAGGTGAAGCCCACACAAATGTAAGTTAAGGTGATTTTAGCCTACCTTATCTGAAATTTGAGGGAGCTTTTAAAGCTTTAATTTTTTGGATATTTTTGGTCCTCTATTTTGCTGATATGTACTTAGCTCAAAAAATTTTTAGATTGCAACTGTGCTGCTATGGACTATTTCTAATGGACTTTCCATTTGAATGAATAAAGAGTGATTGGAAATTGCTGGGCAGAGAAACTGTAAAAAATAGGACCCACTTTTATAACTGTCAGGTTGGTGTGCTTGTGGGGTAAAAGGCATTCTTCCATTTTTGATGGATATGTATCCATTGTGGTCATGCCCACACTTTCACTCAGCAATTTCATTTCTAGAACACTTGAACAGAGATCTATGCAAAACGTTAACTGTAGCACTATTGCTAATGGCTGAATGAAAACAATCTCATTTGCCTATCAGTATGGATTTAGTTAAATAAATTTTGCCACATCCATATAAGGAAATAACTTGTAGCTGTTAAACATAGATCTAGATGTACTGACAGCCATCTTTCCATTACAGGAAAATTATTATATATATACACACACACACACACACATATATATATACATATATATATATGGCATCATCCTATTTGTGGAGAGACATATGCTTATACATGCATTAAATTTTTTTTAAATGTTCATTTATTTTTGAGAGAGAGAGAAAGTGTAAGTGGGGGAGAGGCAGAGAGAGAGGGAGACACAGAATCTGAAGCAGGCTCCAGGCTCCAAGCTGTAAGCACAGAGTCCGACTCAGGGCTGAATTGCAAAATCATGACCCAAACCTAAGTCAGACGCTTAACTGACTGAGCCACTCAGGTGCGTCTAAAATTTTCTAGGGGGAATTCCACTTTTCACTTCACAACTTTCTGAATAATTTTGAATTTTTATTTTTACAATGAGCATGTATTGCTTTTATAATTAAAAATTAGCAATGCAATGTCAAGTGTGGACCTTGCTTTGACACTGATTTGAGCAAACAATAAAAGATATTTCTGAGACATCCAGAGAAATAAAATTCTAAATTGCATATTTAATAATACATAGAATTTCTAATTTCTATTAATTTTGTGAGGTATGATAATGGTAATGTGGCTATAATGTAGGTTAAATGGATACAGTTAAGTAAGTGTGGTAAAATCTTTGTTAACAATTGGGTCTGAGTGATCTATATGGAGTTTCATTATACTGTTCTCTTTATTCTACACATTCGAAAATTTTCATTATACTATTCTCTTTACTATTCTATACATTTGATATAAAGTTTTTAAATCAGTTAAATAAACACCATAAAGAGGTGTTAAAGAACGGAGCTTCAGGGGCTTGGTTAGGATGGCAGAGGAGTAGAATGACCCTAAGCTTGCCTCCTCCCTCGAACACAGCTATATAAATATCAAATCATTCTGAACACACAAGAAATCAATCTGAAAACTGAGACAACAAAGCTGCACATCGATGAGCAGAAAAACAACCACCTTGTGGAAGGTAGGAACTGTGAGAGTTGATTTGGGAGTGAAAAGAGCTATGGGCCTTGTCGATGGGAGGGAACCCTGACTGTGGAGAGATGAGCGAGAGTTAAAAGAAAGAAAGAAAGAAGAAGGAAAGAAATAAAGAAAATATGTGCAGGGGATTACACACGAAAAACTCTTCCTCAAAGCCAAAGACGGGGGAGAAGGATGATTTGGGAAGATAAGTTTTTTTTTATAAACAGTGGAGCACAGGGGCACCTGGGTTGCTCAGTGGTTGGGCAACCGACTTCGGCTCAGGTCATGATCTCACACTAGGAGTTCGAAGATGGGGCTCTGTGCTGACAGCTCGGAGCCTGGAGCCTGCTTCAGATTCTGTGTCTCCCTCTCTCTCTCTGCCTCTCCCCCACTCGCACTCTGTCTCTCAAAAATGAATAAACATTAAAAAAAATTAAAAAATAAAACAAACAGTGGAGCACAGAGTCTGAAGTTTCAGAGGTTAGCGCCATGGCCAGGGTCATTCATACCTGGCAGTGTTCCCGTTGGGGAGCAGGAAGGACAACCAGCCAGCAGCATGGTCTGAAGGTCCCCTTGGCTGCACGGGGAGAAAGTTTCCTTGCTTGGAGTGCCTTTTGGGAGAGGTGATACATTACGGCTTCTCCAGTGGCAAAAGATCCTGCAGGGCTTTGAGCTACCCCATTCCTCAGCATAGGAACAAAGACGCAGGCTGAGGGCAGTAAACTCTAGTGCTAGCTTTGTGCTGTGATTATTCCTAACTGCTGCGTGGTCACGCGACCATTTTCTGGGACAAGCCGGCACCAGCCACAGAGCAGTGAGACCCTCCTCCAGAGGATCAGAGCAGGTCTGGGCCATGGGGGTCTTTGAAGTTTAGAGTTTGAAACACAGCCATGTTTGAGATAAAACACAGGAGGGCTGTGCTCCCTGGCAGGCAGACAGCTTGGACACAGGGTGAAGACGTATCTAA